TTTGTTTTAATTCAGAGGCTGATACATGATGAACAATATCACTACTGTCAATGGACTTTTTTTGTTTATCTGTTTTGGCATTGTGAAGTTAAAGAGAACACTGATCATAATTATCCTCGCTGTCTGTAGCATCGCGTCTCTGTGTTGCGGTCTCTCTCTGGTAATTCTACCTTTTTGTATTTTTGTTCTTTCATATTTTTTTTTCCGTTGTTCTTTTTTTGGATATGCTCTGAGAAACGGTAAATAACTGTATCATAAACTGACCCGGAGAGGACGGTACTCTTTATGTATATTTGAAATTGGTGTCATGGTGTAATAAAAGATGGCGATGAGTTGTACTTAAATGTAAACACTGGGAGCTTCATTGAGCGTCTGCACGTAAAGCGTCCTCTGAGTTCTGGTTACGGCTCAAAGTTCCGACAGGTGTTGGAGGCAGTAAAACAAAGCGATGTCACAGACAAACTCTCGCTCCCGCCGCTTCGTCCGACCCTTTGATGCAGTCTATTGTTACTGCTTAGTACAACAAACCAAAGTCCATCTCATGGGACATTCCCAACAACTTAGCCCAAATGAGTACAGAAAGAAAAGCACAATCTGCCGTCAAGATTACACTATGTCTCAATCGCTGCTATCTGTCCTTTAGAAGAGTTATGACTTGGTAAATGTGGTTAACTTTGGCCTGAATCTGTAAAAGAGGACAATTGATTGTAGTAACAGAAGTGTGCACCTGTTCTCGAGGAGACCTCAGGGGCTTTGTGCAAGGTCCAACAGCTTCCTTATGAAACCACATTTACATTCATTAGTTCTGCACCATTTTACACACACTCATAAATATCAGTCCCCGAAACATGTCAGACTTTTCCCCATTAAGATGCAGGAAATATTCTGAGAAATCAAAAAGTGATTGAAAATATTCCTGGTTCTGCCACTTTGTTATGATCCACACCACAGTTTTATGGAATCTTTATGGGTCCTTTGCACATTGTGATGATCTGTGATGTTTTTGTGTTAACTTGTTACAAACAAACAAAGCAGGGGTAAAAACTTAAAACACAGAAGTTTCACAATGTGTGTTTGTAATCTGTCAATATCAGATTTTGCACAGTCCTGTCGGATCTGTTGTTATGTACAATGAATTGTGTAGAAAACAGAAATGGGTTGGGCAGACCTGCGGCGCTCATTTTATGGTTCAACATGACTTATAGCTAACACCTACTGGTAAAGAACCAAATTTGCATATTAAGGCTAATAATCAACCATCATCACTGATAAGTCACCAGGTGGATAAATAATTGATACACATCAGGGGTGGAGCTCGAAGCTGTGACACGTATGTGTATGTGTGTTTGTGTTTGCTCGTTAGTCTTTGTCTGAAGATATGCGTATGCAGCCGTAGATCTCAGATATGTGTAATTTGCATTCAGAGTAAATAGTGCAGTTCTTTGTGTGTCAAAATAACCTCCTTCTTGCAGGAGCGTTTCAAGGGAGTTTAGTGGCCCCAGGCAAATCGGACCTAGGTGGGACCTAACACCCCGAAACGTTGCTTCCTGTTCAATCCCACTCTGCAAGCGAACAAAACATTTGCTTTCTTGTGGTGAGGCAACTTCGGTGAACTTTGACTTGCGATTTTTACTTTGCATTAGCGTGATATATAAATAACCAATCCTGTCAACTTGTGGGTGGGGTCAGTAGTCGGAGAAAGCTCCTCAACTGCAGGTGGCGCTGTGAGGGTGGAGAGACAGGGAGCAGGGACGAGGCTACATCAGGATATTCATAGTTCAAAGTCACGAAATGAGGAAGGAAGTTGAAGAGGTATATTTCGGCCATTTTAACGCCATGAGAATTAATTTCACGACAAACTTTTTGAAAATGTAATTTTGAGGAACAAAGGGTGCTGTAATAAGCCACTTGAGTGCAACCCTCATCTCAGACGCGTTCATTTAGGCCGCGTTCACACCCGGTATTAAATCCATTCTGAACTTGTCTCCTGTGACCAATTGTGGTCTGATCTCGCTTCCTGCTCTAAATATAAATAAACACGTGCGTTATTTGTGATGGCGCAGACCAAATGTTGTTTCAACTAAGTCTGAGTTTACGGATGTGTCTGATAACAATGTTTGTGTTTCTGCATCGGCGCAAGCGAGGAGTGTGAGAGAGGAGTCAAGAGGGGCTGAAGGAAGAATGTGCAGAGTGCTCCTGTGCTGTGAAGAAAGCTTTTAACAATTTCACAAAAGTATCTATCATTATGTGTTGGTCAGTGTAAACATATCAACGTATAAAAACATCTCTGAATGTGGGCAGATAGGATCTCAGGGTGTATTCAGGATGCCTTTGCGTGTGTTCAGACCTTTACTTCCTGCTGGACACTTGTGATCGGATCACTCAGGTCAGATGTTAAGCTCAGGGCCCACTTTGCCGAGCATGTTGCTGCGCTCCTGTCTTATTGCCAAGATCCTTGTTTGGTTTTTCAGCATTGGATGTGCAGGGTAACGCAGCTGTGTGCACCTGCATGTGAACGAGCACCAGTTTATGTGCATGTGTGTTCATAAAAACTCTCCTGGCATTTTGTTGGTGCGTGGAAACGACATCAGCCGGCAGCTCTTACTCACGTCGGTGGCTTGGGTGACTCACAAATCACATCTGTTTCCAAAGCAAGCAGAAGCAATGCAGACCCAGTCTTAAAACCACCGGAACACGGTGGCCAGGCTTTAATGTTATTATTCCTCTCCAGCTCTCTGTGGATGTGAGCGTGTTTTTCTGCCCCGTGTACTTTTCACTGTGTTCTGCGGAGACCTCGCCTAACCCTTGAAGCTTCCTCCAAAATCTTTGTACCAAAACAGGCTGCGGCTGCTTTCTTCTGTGGAACAAGTAATGAGTGTGTTACATTAATACGAACCATTCCGCGGCTTATGGCGTGCTTGAGTCTAAGTGTGTGTGCATTTTTGTGTATTTGAGCTGTCAGGAACAGGCCCACTTCTTGAACTTCGCCTTGTTAGATAGTGATGCGAAGCAACACAGGCCACATGCTTGCAGAGCTTCACGTCCTGTGCTTGTAAACCAGCGTGGCATCTTTCCTGCAGCGGATCTACGTCTTCATACATCAAAAATAAGCTGCATCTTGACTTCAGTGTTTGAAGCGCAGGGACTTCTCTCTGCTTGCTGGTTTAATTTAGTTGTTAGTGAATGACCTCAGTGTGAATGCTTGGGCTGCGTTCAGAGTCCAGCAGAGGTTTCTTCTTGCTAAAACAGTCACATCTGGCTCTTAATTGCTACTGTGCAAGCTGCAGAGGCCCCCGCCACAGAACAGCTTCTCTCAGCATGTTTGGAGAAAGGAAGTAGAAAATAAGGAGGGGAGAGGGAGGACAGAGCCCATTACCTTCAGTGACTGAGCTCAAAACCTTCATTATTCCTTCACTTTCTCTGCTTGAGGGGAAGATTCCTTTGCACGTCCACCTCTGCCTGTTGTGTTGATTGTGACACAATCAGCTGCTTTCTAAGTCATTCATTATTATTGAGCCAGTGCCCATTTTGTATCCCTGCAGAGGAGGTTCTGTTTTTGTTTGGTTGATGGGTGGGTGGGTGGTTTGTTAGCAGGATCACACAAATACTACTCAACAGATTTCCTGTTAAATCTTTTGGAAAGGAGGAAAGTGACCGAAGGAAGAACCCATAAGCTTTTGGTGTGGATGTGGATCTGGCAGAGGATCCCGGACTCGTTTGAATAATGTGTGTGTAATCTGGGGCAGTTTGTTTGAATTTAAGGGGACAGTTGGGCCTCAGGGGAGCTGTGCGCTTCTCTGAGTGTAGTAATTACAGAAAAAACTGTGCTCTAATTGTTTCTCTGACAAAATTTCCAGTATAACTAATTTAGAAACAGCAACTGTAATGTTGCACGTTAACAAACAATATGTGTGTTGTCCAATTTAATTGAAGAAAAGCATCTCATATTCACAAATCACAGTTTACCTCATGCCTCACAAACTGTACAAGTTGAGACATCCTCTGTCCTCAATCCTGGGAAGGGAAAACATTCAGAAGAGTCACGAGTGAGGGATCCCCCGCCCAGGACGGACAGAAGTTGTTGCATGTAACAACACATCAACAAATTACCAATGATTTGAACATTTATTTGAGCAGATGGTGTCCAACATGAATGAATCTATCTTGTTTGCAAGACCAAAAAAAGATTGCTTCACTTTTTTGGCCCTTTTTTTTCAGCTGTTTTCTCTCGTGCCGACCAGCCTCCTGTTTTATGCATTCACGGCCGACCTGCATATTAGTATTTGCATAACTGTCACCTTGAGGAGAACATGTTCTCCACTCTGTGGAACCCGCCCTCCATGGCTTGCCAAGTTAGGCTGATCTGCAACGCAATGCTCAGAGGGAAATACAGTTTTCCTCTCTTTCTCTGTATCTCTGTTTTCCCAACACCAGCACAGCTGCAGTCACTATTCTGCTAAATGAAAGACATTTGTCGAACTGAAGAAATGATCATAACAGTTCCAGGTCTCACGCTCTAGAACAGAGAGCAGCCTACTGGCTTCCAGGATGAATGGCTCAGCAGGAAGTGAAATCTTTTTCATAGTCACCACATTCTTTGCCCCTCGTGTGCGTTTGGTCATATCTGAGTTCATCTCTCGTGAGGTCATGACACCATTTTTAGACCAAAAGTGTCACTTTAGGAACACTTCCAAAATAAATTCCGCAAGCTGTTTCTGCAGAGATGCTGTACAGTTGTATTTCCAGTGTGTGAAGGTTCATGTCACAAGAACACTCATACACTAACTGCCACATACACACACTCATTCATTAATTCAGAAAGAGAGATCAGTGCACAGATCCAAAGAAGTTGGGGGGGGGGGGGGGGGGGGGGGAGAGAGACTCTCTTTACATGTGGCAAAGTGGTGGGAGGAGCTCCCTCCCTGCCTCGGTCACTCACGCAGCTCTTACAAGCTGTTGCATGCATCCACTGCTCCACAACGCGTGGGTGAAAGCAGAAGGAAGATGAGACGAGAGGAGAGGAGAGGAGGGGAACTGTAACTGCAGCCTGACCGGGAATGAAGGCGCAAGAATGCCCCATGAGACGCTGCGGAGGATCCGCCACATTTATGCACGCAAGAAGAAGTGATTTACCGTGTTGAATCCTGAAGAGAAGAATCTGATCTCGGTCTTGAGAGATCGTCGTCTTGGCTGAGAAAGGAAAGTTTGTCAGAGAAGGAAGGAGTCTTCATCATCCAGCAGATATGAGGCTGCACTTTTCTACGAGTTGGATATTCCGGGGCTGGATAACGTGTGCGCTCATCGCCTTTTACGCGCAGGTAAAAACACACGTCTGTGAGTGAAGGGGGGGGTTTAATGTCCATGCTATCAACAGTAGGGAATGTATTTATAAATAGAAAACATTGGATGGATGTTTTGTCTCCTATATATATATCGGGGGCTGTCAAACGTTTATACATGAATGGCTATGCCCCAAAAAAGCGAGAATCACGATGGAGTAGATGGAAAAGTGTAACAGTGCCAACACCTGAGATGTTTTTACGCAGATTGAGGGGAAGAGATGATGGTTGAATTTTGACTGGAAACAGTTGTGTTTGGGTCGAGTCCACCTCCCCCTGCATGCTCGGTCTGACCGCAAAAACGCCGCTGGCAACAGGATGTTCTTCTCCCTCCGCCAAACATTCTCTCCCGGTCGGGTCCGGAGGGGGACCGGCGCAAATGGCGCATCAGGACCCAGCCATCAGTGAAGGGTCTGCACGGGTCCAGAAAAGTTGCCACTGGTTGTATTCCCTTCAGATTAGCACTGGAAGATTGTGGCAGTTACGCACAACATATAGGTAGGATGGTGATGGTGCCATACTCCAATGGCATGGATACAAACCAAACCATTGAAATAACAACAATGCGTAATGTCTCTTACAGCATGATCCAAGGCCACAGTTTGATTTTAGTGGCGAGAAAAAAGAGTGAATGGCCAATGACATGTTGCCCATGTTGTTGTGTAGTCCATCGGCTCTAACTCCATCCAGGTGGAGCAGTTTATAAGATGTGGTTGGGGCGGTGGGACTGCTGGGCACCAGTCATCCATCACAGACTGTTTATGTGTGTGCGTTACCGTAAACCAGCAGCAATACAACATTGACTGGAACAGATGCTCTCTCTTCTTTTTTTCTCAACTTCTGCTTTACTAAAATGTGTTGCAAGAGATATGAGGAGTGGAGGACCTGGGATCCAGAGAGGTGATGGCACGGAAGCAAGAAGTCACAGTTTTTACTTTTTCAAGTATAGAAGCAAACAGAGTGAGCAAATGCAGATTTGATGCATGGAAAAATGAGTCAGTGTGCACAGAGGAAGCAAGAAAATCAATCCTACATTTTAAGGTGACACTGCAAACCATTGGCTTGTGGTTTGTTCTCACCGTGGTCTTGCCATCACTGACTCACTGTATCCTCCAATGAAATCCCCCTTCACTTCTTAGTTTTCAACCACTTCGTCCAGAGCCTGGTTCAAATTCATTTCAAACTGTCTGTGTGATTGAGCAACACAGGATTAGTTCAAGATGTTTGGAGCTTAAAAAGTCAGTAGTTGTGTACTTTATTTAATAGTCTGTTTCCCCAGGCGTCCACGTCTCTGCATTCGTCTGTTTGTCCACCTTTCTGTCATCCACCCATCAAGAGTCTCTCTCTGACTCTTGCCCGCTGTTCCTTGATTTGATATTCAACTAAAAACTTTGGCATTTTCTCCATGTGCTTTTTTTTTTTTCTCATCCACCGTCTGTCCATCCATCTATTCAGAAATCGCTGCTATGTCTGTCGTGGCTTAAACAATAAGACCACATTGCTTCAGGCCTACAGATCCAAACTTGATTCAACTTTTCAGACAACAGACATTCAACTGACTGATAAAATATGAAGCCTTGTAATAACAACAGAGCTTTGTGTGGAGGGAGGAGGGATTATATTGGTCTTCAGTGTGTCTCCAGCACACCCGGATTAATCTCTGTCAAGTTCCTTTAAACAATTAGTGCAGATTAAACTTGCCCAGAGATGTGTTTCCAGCTCTTTTTTTTGCAGTAGTTCTTCTAATTACAGTCTTCAGATGAGTTTCTTTAACTTTCGCTCATGACCCATGGTGGTTATGAATCATCCCGCTCGTCTTCAAGCTTGTTCTTTTTATTTTAAAGCCCCAGCAAATAAGTTTGTGCCTGTGCATCAGATGACAATAACTGACGTTACTCTCTCATATACAATTGATAACCATTGAAACATTGCCAGTTTATTCTAAAGAGACGATACAAAGTGGCAAACAAATGTTAACACTGTATTATTATCATTAGTATAAATGCATCAAGCTCCTCTGGTGCCACATATGGTTTTCAAGAATGGAAAGTATTTATTACCGAGTATGAGACTTTCAAAACTAGTAAAAGTCATAATTTGTGCAGGTGGAACTTCAAAGGGCTTAGTTTTTATGGCCGTTTTAAAGAATGAACTACAGGTGTAGACACAATACAAACATTCAGGTGTTGTGCAACACACATTTTTTTACAGCAACCTTATCACGGAGCACTAAAACACAGAGAGGCCTGAAAGTCACACTCTGCTTCTTTAGGCCCATTGCCAGCGGCTGCCGTGGCCGTTATGCAAATCCTTCCCTACTCTTACGGCTAAGAGGAATGTGTTGTGTGTCACACTCCTGATCTCTCACACGCTGAAGGATTTATGAAAGATAAGTAAAGAAAAGGCTGGTGCACTGGTACACCCCCCCCCTCAATCTGTTGGACACATACATTCATATATTACAATAAAAGTAAGCGTTGAGGTTGCATGTTCTATCTTTACCGGTATGATAACCTATAATCATATAGGGTGGATCAGCTCTTTTCCTGTGACATTTACTGTATATTTAGTTTGTCAAAACATAAGGGCCTCACATAACCGAGAGCCAATGTTTAGATGTGGCCGTTGCAAAAACATGCTTCCCAGAATTCTTTTGGCCTTATTGCTATCTGTCTGTCTGTCTGTATCTCTATCTACCTGTCTGTCTCTCTCTCTATCTGTATGTCCATCCGTCCGTCTCTCTATCCATCCATCCATCAAGATAAACATTGTCATGGAAACCGTCCTCCTCCTCTGTCACTTCTGTTTGCTGCAGCACATGGTCCTCGTTAGTGCTGTGGTCCGAGCGCTGTGCGTCATTATTCCTCTGCTGAGATTCTGAAACAAAGACTGGCTGATGTGCGAGCGACCGAGTGGAGGTAATTAAACGCTTGCCAGTGTTCACGTTGCGCTGCTTTTGCCCGAGGCCGGGCAAGACAGACATTGAGACTAAACAGAATTTACTGTGGAGGTGTGAGAACGAAAGAAGGAGGCGAGGGGAGGATGACACTCAATATCAGTATTTTTATTTAAACTGATGTTATCCTCAAACTTTCATTTTATTTTAAGATTTGATTCCTTGTTAAAATCTGTTTCAACCAAAGGAACCTGAACATTTCAACAAAAGGAAAGTTATCTTTTTAATTCTCCTTACCAAATCATTTTTACCGGTGCATAGTAATGCATGCATATGATTTCCAAAGCGAATTAAATTGCCGGATATTAATGTTGTTTTTATGATACATGCTTTCGACCAATCGTGAGTTAGTCTCAGCTGTCAATCATGAGGTATCACTCTTTATAGCATCAAATAACAATCCCATCTACTAATGTGGAGGAGGCAGGACATATGACCTATACTGCTGTCAGCCACCAGGTGGCAATCTAGATGCCTTGGCTTCACTTTTTGGGTGCAGTTACATCATCTTTCTTTATATACAGTCAATAATTTGTGTCTTTATGAAGCTTCTGGAAGTTGCAGATGCACCATGGGAGAGAAAAGCTGGAGTCGGGGACCATTTCAAATTGTTTCATCTGAATGGTCCTGCAGCACCAACATTTCTTTAACTGTACAAACTACTGTTAGACTGAAACAGCATGTAATTTCATGGGAAAGACAAACATTGAGATGTGCTGAATGTGAAAAATACAAAGAGTAAAGTCTGAGGACAGAGTCTGGTCTATAGGTTGTGTTTTTCTACATTTTATATAGACACTGTGGCTTTGGCATCGTTTCTGTCATAACAGCCAGATTCTCTAATTCAGCAGTGTGGTGAGAGTGGCTGCAGGGTGTGTGTGTGCACTGTAAGTGTGTGTGTGTTTGTGTGTGTGTGTGTGTGTCAGCCTTGGCTTACCTTTGTGGCCTTTTTTACTAGAGTTCCCAGATGTTTCCCTCTCTGGTGCCTCATGCTAAACTACAGATTACACTGTTGAATCACAGCAGGAAACGTTATACAGTTATTTATAGCATTATTATAAGTGAAAACAGGATAATGATCTTTTGGGAATAAACTCTTCATTTAAGTGTCGCAGCTGCCAGCTTTTATTTACAGCCTTTAATGGATGTAATGGACAATGTAATGGAGTCCGGTGTGTTCTAATTTAGAGACAGTTGGAGTTGATTGCGTTAATTCCAGTTGGTCTCTCCATGTGTAATTGGGTACTGTAGGGGGTTTGGTTTGCCGGTTTGGAGGCTGTGTGCCGTTGTGGTCAGGTGCTTCTGGGGTGGCGGAAAGAATTCTTGGGTATGTCGTGGAAAACAACCATCCTCTTCCTCTCATTACTCACCGCTGTCTCAAATGTGGATTTGAAAGATGGAGAAGAGACGGAGGAAGGTTGCCTCTGAAGCGTGGCATACATCAGGGGACGTTTGTCAAGCACTGACAGAAAACTGATGTTTTTATCAAGCGAAGCATGAATAAATGTGGGAATCTTTTCTTCAAATACATTTAGAATCAGTACACATGGTCGTTATATAAAAAGCTAAATTTACACAAAATAACACATGTTTTTTTGTTTTTCTTAGGATGTGGTCTCCAAAACTCCCCCTTGTGATGAGTCTCATTACGTAAAAGGCAACAGATGCTGTGAAAAGTGTGGACCAGGTAAACACACATACACACATACACACATACACACATACACATACATAATCCTAATCTAAACACCTAATTCTCACCACAGCCATCTGAAGTTTAGATGTCTGGTTAAAAATGTCCTCACATGATACAAAGACTTATGCACACACACACACACACACACAGAGAAGGAAAAAGCCTCTAATTTGATCAATTTACTTTTCCTTTTTTTCATTTAGTTTGTACTGGTCACTTTCATTATGTCCTTGTTGTTAAATTCTTCCATTTAATTTTCCTCCTCTGACTCTGTGTCTCTATTTTTGTCCCCACCAGGCTTCCGTGTGCTCACTGCCTGCACTGACTCTCAACCGACTAAATGTATTAAGTGCAATCGCGGTGAATACCAACCCGGCTGGACCGAAGAGGACCGCTGTCTCCAGCAGAAGTTCTGTGACCAGAGTCAGTACCAACATCTTGAATAAGGACGAAATCCTGCCTTAAAGGTTCAGTGTGTAGAATTTAGTGACACCTAGTGGTGAAGTTGCATGTTGCAGCTGAATACCCTTCACCTCACCCTCCCCTTCCAAAAATGAATGAGAACCTGTGGTAGCCTTCAGTTGTCCTAAAAACTCAAAATGTTTAGTTTGTCCAGTCTGGGCTACTGTAAAAAACATGGTGGCCTCCGTAGAGAGGACTGGCTCCTGATGTAAATATAAAGTATTTAAATATAAAGGGCCCATTCTAGGGTAAAGAAAACAAATTTGTACAATTTAGATGAAACACACTAGTGAAAACATCACTATTTCTGCCAATAGATCCCTTTCATCGAAATCTCACACACTGAACCTTTAATAATAACGTGTTTGATTGTTGCTTCTTAAATTTGTCAAACAACCATTTCCATACACTGGAGAACCACAAACCCAACAACCTGGAATGTAAAGGTATTCAGTTTTACAAACCAGAAACTATTACTTATATACTTGAAACTAAATGTAGGATTATAGGTTTGCCCATTTATTGGGACATTATTGGGACTTGTCTTTTTGTATTCAAAATTTTTTTGCGACCATCACAAAAAATAAACCGGTATAAAATTGTGTTGATCTCATAGTATAAAACAGAAACATTTTTTTAAATGTGAAAATTGAATTGCATCAGTTGCACCATTATCAGAATTATTACACTCATCCTCTGTAGCCGTCCCAAACTTGACACAAGCAGTGACATGGATGCAGTGAATGAGGAGTGGAGTTTTTGGATGAGACACACATTGTCCCTTTCAAAGATTTGACTCCCTCTTGCAGTTAAGGGTTTCATGGCGAGGCCTGAGAACCCTGTGGCAGAGGAGCCGTGTCGCTGCCTCCCCCACCTCCAGTGCTACCCCATCAACTGTGAGTTCTGTGAGAGGATTCCCACCTGCAGTGCCGGATATGGACTCGAGGTGGATCCCGGTGAGAGTCACCAAAATCAAATCCAACATTTACAGAGGGATCGTGAACCAGACACATGATACACTAATAAGATATGTGCTGCTCCTTTCAGACTCTACGAACGGAAGGAAGGTCTGTGTTGCATGTATGAAAGGCTTCTTCTCTGCTGACAACAATGGAGAACAATGCAAACAATGGACTAAGTAAGTGTGGACGCTTGCACTCACATATAAACACACTATTGCAGTAAATGCAAGCAATCAGGCTATGGTATGCTTAAACACACACACATTAAGAGGAGAGAAACATATAAGTTTGCAAAGCTATCCTAATTAGGACTTTGCATAGACTTCCATTCATTATGTTCAGCCTAACCAAACTTATATCCCCAACTTTAACCATGACCAATTCATGGTTAACCCGAAACTTAACTTAACCACAATTCACATCTTATCCCTAACTTTAACCAAGAGCTCAGAAATTCAGTTCTGCCTCATTAGGACCAGGATTTGGTCCCAGTGAGGTGTGGGAGTTCTGAAAAGGTCCTTAAGAGTTTTTTCCCAAAAACAAATACAAACAACCTTAAATAAAATAACCTATGTTCACGCGTGGATTTTCCTCTTCATTGTTTGTTTGTTTTTTCATCTTCTCTTTCAGTTGTAAGGCCGAGGGCAGGACTGAGACACATCCAGGCAGCGCTCAGGCCGATGCAGTGTGTGGACTACCTGTGTCTGGTAAGACATGTTCAATGGACATCAAATACAAATACCATTCAGTGCATGTTTAACATCTACTCAGGAGAAAATAAGTGACTGAAACCTCATGTCTGATTCACGGTTTGTTTTTTTAACTTTAATGTGATCGGTGAACTTGTCTTTCTTGCAGGTGCGGCGCCCTCCTGGGTCATAGTTTCAGTTCTGTCAGTCATCACTGTTCTGTGTCTCCTCATCCTGCTGCTTTTCTGCTACAAAGACAAACTGAAGTTACTCTCTGGTAAGTTAAAGCCCTGAATTCAACTCTGTCCTGTTCTCAATTAGATAGATGATGACTGAAGACATAGTAAAGATTCATTTAAAGCATATATTTATTTCAGATAAATGTATTTGCTGATGTTCAACAACCTCTTTGCTAAAGCTTCACCAGAAATTTATAAAGCTGCTTTCAGACATGCACTGAACTCCAGACATTTTCCGTGGGGGCTCTAAGGGAGAACGCAAATGTCTGAGTCAGTTGCTGCAGACGTTTTTAGAAACTTTTAGAGCGAGTGGGTGTGTTGATGACGTTTACAACACACGAGAGACATATTAGAAAGACAAACTCTGGAAAATGTCCGGAGCCAATTTTCAGGGTTTCCTGGCTGAAAATGTGTTATGATTCATCCTTTCTGTTTTAACGTAGAATGTGTTGTTTCTTTGTCCAGTAAATCTGCGATCCTGTGTTCAGAATCTTAAGGGGACCAGGATACAGCAGGTAAAGTGAGATTACAGTTGAAAAACATTGAAAATACACAGAAATCAACTGCATTACAAGTAGGTGCATGTACATGTTACATGGTTTTTGAAATACTTGATTTTATGGCTCATTGAGGGACAGATACAAGTGTTAAGTTGTGTGAATAAATTTTGGGAAATCATATTTCTTACAATGCACACTGAAAATAACGCTTCTTCGATTTTCTCACTGCTTCTCTCATTGTTTCTTTGTTTTAGGATACATTGGCCCCTCTTTACCACAGTGGGGGTCCCAAGTGCACTCCGTGTGAGGTCACCAAACTCAACTGCGAAGCACCACACCACCCAACAGACGAGCCCCCCTGCACATTCCCCACCTATGTTCCCGATGTCAAGGTCTCGCTGCCCTTTACGGAGGAAATGACAGAGAACGTAGTGCCCAACAGGAAGACGGTGACGGAGGATCAGAGCGAAGGGTCTGGAGAGCCGGAGGAGGTGTCAGAAGAGGAGGAGGTCACCAGCGTGTCCCCTCTCTTGGTGGGTTCCTGCGTGTGTGTCATCCCCGTTCGCGAGCCACTGGAAGTCGGGGAGAACGAGGACTGCAGCCAGGCCGTCTGCCCCGGGACTCCAGGAACCTGCTCGTGTGGAGGGCTGGATGGAGAGAAGGATGGAGACGAGAGTGGGAAAGAAGAGAGGAGTGAGAGCGTTAGGTCCGACGGTAATCAAGAAAAGATGGTTTTGTGCAAGAGTGAAACAGGTGCTGCCTCTCTCGTTTCTCTTTCTCCTCCACTCCTCCACACCTCCTCTGTTGTCCCTCCATCCAGCCCACGTCCTGAACTCTGCCTGCCCCTGTCCAAGGCTCTGGTGTCGTCCGAGTTCAAACCTAAAGTGACCGACAGGTCACCGCTGAAACAGGAGGAGTTATACAGACTGGCTAGCACAGACACCACCTCAGCAGAGAATAGCACAACCTCTGCGATGACCTCAGTCAGTCCCCTGATGACGTCCTCGTCTGTTAGAGATCTGTACCTGGACAAACCCCCCGAGGCCTCTGGCCCGGAGCAAGGCCAGGGTCTTTCCTGGGAGGATAACAGTGGAAACAAGCTTTCGTGTGGGGACTCAGAACTGCAGTGCTCACCTGAGAGCCTCCACAGTCAGCTGTCGGAACCAACGCTTACCTCAGGTGGGTGAAGATTTAAAACGTCAAGAATTTAAACTTTAAACTGGCCGAACAAAATAAATATCAAAATGAATATT